AGTGGGTTAAAATTGAGTTGCAAGATTGAGGATACGACAACAACAACAGAGTGAGTTAAATAAAAGCGCATAATAAAAGAGATGTTTATCTCAGTGGACCTTACCTGGTGAAATGAAAATCGTTGAGATTTTAGTCTAGTTTTATCTCTCCTTCCCGAGCACAACAACAAGCAGGAGTAGTGGGAGGAGCATTCTCCACTAACGGTGCTTGTGCCAGGATATGTACACCACAGATATCCATCACATAGAGACCCATATAGTCATCACACATAGACCTATACAATCACTATGCACAGACCCTCAGACTTGCACAGAGACCCATAGACTCATCAGAGAGACCCAAGGGCTCGCACGTGAATGTGTGGTGATTTAGTTGAAGGTGGAGGGGGGTTACCAGCCCCTCGCACCCATCCAGAACTCCCTGTGGCCACTGGTGGCTGCGGGCGACGTGAGGTTCACAGCTGGTCAGGGTTGGCGCCCCCCCCCCCCCCCCCAAAATGGCATCTCTCACAACCACCGCTGCATTATCAACCGTCACCATTCGCCAATAAGTGACAGTGACGTCACCACAGCGCCTGTGCCAGGCCAGGTGCACTTTGAAGCCACGTGAAGTGGCGAAGGCTCGTTGACCGGAGGTCCTGGAACAGACCCAGGTGCCATGGGTTGGCTGACTGAGATGACTGGCAGCACCACCTGTACCCCGTACTGTGCCAAATTGCTGCATATTTATCATCCGGTGTTCCGCTCGTTGTTGTGAGCGTCACTCCTCCGTTGTTGTTGGAGGGCGAGTGTCGCCAACTGCCAAGTAGAAGCATCCTTCACGAGCCTCCCCGCAGAGGCCGATCTCGACACCACTGGTACCAGTCGTCGGCAAAGCCCACTCAGCTCCACATCCTCCCGTACCGCGTCAGTCCACCTCCACTCCAGCCCATGCCGTGCCCGCCCAGCTCCCTCCATCCACCCACATACTCACTTACCGGCTTACTCACGCACTCACCCACTCATCTGCTAACGCACCCACACAGGCTACGCAAAGCATCGTGATCAATTTACACCAAAATCTACTCTCAACCACTTAAACGACATATTCGTAAATGATGCGCACCCTAATCAGCCACTATGGCTGTGTGCAGGGTGTTGTGATGTCACGTAGTACGACGTTTTTCTTGCTCCCCCCCCCCCCCCCCCCCCCCCCCCGTTATAACGCGTTGTCTATCTATGGCCTCGTCACATTGGCCTTAATGGACGTGTGGTGATGGTGAAAGATGATTTGGCGGTGGACACTGAATTACCGGAGCCCCATTTAACATTCAGGTGACACGGGGCACGGTATGTGAAGAACCTCTTATGTCCTGTAAACAGACTTCTCTGCGTGGGATAGTTAACACCTCTTAATGCACAGACAACCGCCAACGCAGCCTCGCCTGCCGGAGGAGCTCGCTGATGATCGGACAGTGTTCAGATCTCTCAAGGATCTGTGAGCTACTCGCACACAAAGATCCCCGTGTAGCCTTTAACAGACTGTTGGGGCAAGTGCTTTATAACATCATCAAAGGGGTGCTGCAATACGATGCAATCAAAATCACCGATCAGAGATTTTCCTATATATGGTCTTTGTTGATTGTGAATCGATACTGATTGTATTGATTCCACTCAGTCGTTACAGCAGCAAGCTCAAAATGTCCGATTTTATCTGAAAATTTCTGCGTTTCACAGATCATACAAAGCAACGGTATTGATGCCTGGTTTGTATGTACTTTTTATTAAAAAACAAATGCATGTAGTCTATCAGACTTTTGTATTAAATCGCTCTGCAAAAAGTCATTTTGTATGCTAATAAATCAATGTTATGCTAATGCAAAATTTCATCATAGCCGCGACTCGGTTTACTCCGATGTGCAATGTCATCTTTATTTCGATCCTGTGAGTGTACAATTTTATATTAAACTCCATTTACTGAGTGAATACAAGACCACTTATATGATGATGTCCATTTTTATCATAGCTGTGATTCATTCAGCCATTCACTCACTCAGCCACAAACTCACTCAGCCACACACTCACTCAACGACTCACTCAACTACTCAGCCACTCACTCACTCAGATATTCACTCACTCAACCACTCACTCACTCACTCAATAATTAACTCAACCACTCAACCAATCATTCAACCACCCACTCACTCAATCACTCAACCATCACGCTCTCACTCAACCATTCACTCACTCAGCCACTCACTCAGCCACTCACTCACTAAACCACTCGCTCATTCAACCGCTCGCTCACTCAACCATTTACTCACTCAACCACTCACTTGCTCACTCAAGCACTCGCTCACTCAACCACTCGCCCAACCACTCGCTCAACGACTAACTCTACCACTCACTCACTCACTCACTCAACCCCTCACTCAACCTTTCACTCAACCCCTCACCAAACCACTCAACGACTCACCAGAATCCTCTCGGCTTGGGGACTCACTTAACCATTCACTTAACCACTCACTCGAGCAACCACTCACTCACTTAATGGCTTACTCAACCACTCAACCAATGACTTTCTCACTCACTCAGCCACTCACTCCTTCACTCAGCCACTCACTCATTTAGCCACTCACTCAGCCACACACTCAACCACTCAGCCGCGCACTCACGAAGCTACTTACTCACTCAACCACTCACTCACTTAATCACTTACTCAACCACTCAACCATCACTCTTTAACTCACTCAACCATTCACTCAATCAGCCACACTCACTCAACGACTCACTAACTTAACCGCTCAGCCGCTTCGTCACTCTATCTCAATCACTCAACCACTCGCTCACTCAGCCAGTCACTCCCTCAACCACTAACTGACTGAACCACTCACTCAACCACTCACTCATTCAACCATTCCCGAATTCATTCAACCAGTCACTCAACCATTATGTCGCTGGACGAGTCCCACCTTGATGGGTCTGCAACATTTCTTTCCAGAGTTATTGGCAAAAAACCACAAACATCCCAGAATCCTCTCGGTTTGGGGTCCAAATGTTGTCGCTTATTATATCCCATGAGAAACATCGCATCGAATAAATGTGATTGGATTCTCCCCGCCTGGACGAGCAGAATTGAATATGTAAGCATCAGGGTTTGGATCAAACCTACAACCACCTGTATACCGGGCGAAGTAGTGATCTTCTCGTCACCCAGGTCGCCATAATCCATTCCCGTATCTCTTCTTCTGTGTGTGTGCTACAGGCGGGTGTCTCAGATTGCCAGCACCATGTGATGGGAGCTCCAGGGCATGCTGCGTGCTCGCCAGGAGGGGCTGGGCAAGATGGCGTAGTCGCTGGAGCAGCTGCGGGCGCGGCACCGCCGCTCTCACCCTGGCGGAGTGCAGCAACACAGTGGGGCGGCACCAGCGGGACACTCTGGACAACGCAGCCAAGGTGCGCGCCAGCCACTTGTTCACTCATCCACTCACTCACTCAGCCACTCATAAAACCACTCACTCACTCATCCACTAACTTAAACCACTCACTCAACTACTCACTCACTCAACCATTCACTCAACCATCCACTTACTCAACCACTCAATCAATCACTCACTCAGTCATTAACTCAACCACTCACTCAACCACACACGCATGCGCTCAAACACTCACTCATTGGTTCAAACATTCACTCATTCAAATACTCATTCAACCACTCACTAATTCACTCAACCACTCACTCACTGAACCACTCACTCGCTCACTCAACCACCCGCTCGCTCACTGAACCAATCGCTCCATAAATCACTTATTCAGCCACTCACTCAACCATTCACTCACTCACTCACTCAGCCATTCACTCAACCAATCAGTCACTCAATCATGAATTAAACCACTCACTCACTCAACCCCTTACACATGGGCTCATCACCTGTGTCTCAACCATCTTACTGAGTAACATAACTCTTTTTTTAGAAGTGACCTGGCCACAAATGATAGGTCAACAACGTGCCTTATGTGGAAATTTATAGCAGCCAACTACTCTAAACGCCTGTTTCTAAATGTGTAGGGAAAATCCAGAGGACCAGAATAAAAATCCACTTGACCACGGAGAGAACATGCAAACTCCAAATATACAGGTGTCAGGGTTGGGATCAAACCGACAACCTTCTGTATACCAGACGAGGTAGTTAACATTGTATCCGGGCAAGCCGTACATCGAGCTGAAGTGGACCATGCGGCCCATCCCTATCGCGTGAGTGGCTCCCACTGTTGTTATTGTGTTCATATGTGTGTGGTCTGCTTGTGTGTATGCGTGTGCCGCACTGCGCTATGAACCCAACATGACCAGGCTGTTGCCCCGCTCGCCCGACTCGTTGAGAGGCTTGCCCACCCCCCAGGGCGTTGTCGTGAAGATACCGCTGGGAGGAAGAATATCTCACAATACTGGAAGAGGTGAGGACTACACATAGAGTGGGTGATTAACTGGGTGGGTCTGTGAGTGAGTTGGTGGGTGAGTCAATGGGTGAGTCGGTGGGTGAGTGGGTGAGTGAGTGTGTTAGAGATTGAGTGGGTGGTGGGTGATTGTGTGAATTAGTGGGTGGGTGAGTGAATGGTTTGAAGTGAGTGAGTGGGTGAGGGAGTGGCTGAGAGGTGGGTTGGTGAGTGGATGAGAAAATTGGTGGGTTAGAGATTGAGTGGGTGGGTAACTAGATGATTGGGAGGGTGAGTGGGTGAGTGGCTTAATGGGTGAGTAAGTCGGTGGGTGAGTAGGTGAGTGCCTGGATAAGTAAGTGAGTGTATGGGAGCATGAGTGGGTGGATGGTTGACTAGGTGGGTGAATAGGTGAGTGGGTGGTGGGTGGGTGAATTATTGAGTGACTGTGTGAGTGAGTGCGTGGGTAGGTCAGTGCGATATTGTGTGGGGGAGTGGGTGAGTGAGGGGTTGAGTGAATAGGTTAATGGGCGGGTGAGTAGATTGTTGGGTGAGTGGGTGGGTGAGTCAGTTAGTGGGTGGGTGAGTGAATATCGAAGGTTGAGCAGGTGAGTTAGTGTGTGATTGGGTGCGTGGGTGAATCAAAGAGTGGGGCACCACGGTGGCGACATGTTAACTACCTCACCTAGTATACAGGATTTTGTGAATTCGATCCCATCCCTTGCACCTGTATATTTGGAGTTGGCATGTTCTCCCTGTGGTCGTGTGGATTTTTCTCCGGGTCCTCCAGGTTTTCTCTCCATATTTAAAATCAACATTCATTTAGAGGATGTGGCTGCAATGAATGTCTCCATGATAATCCACTTCGTTAACCTATCATTTGTAACCAGGTCACTTCTGAAAAATATTAATTTAGTTATCTGAACCTTTTCTGGTAAAATAAAAATATATTGTTTAATTTAGTTTATTGGGTGGGTGAGTGGGTAGGTGGGTTATTGAGTGATTTGGTGGGTAGGTTAGAGATTGAGCGGGTAAATGGGTGGGTGTGTGAGTGGGGGTGTGAATAGTTGAGTAGGTGAGTGGGTGAGTAAATTGTTGAGTGAGTGGATTAGAGATTGAGTGGGTGGCAGGGTGAGTGGGTTTGTGAGTAGGTTGGTGGGTGGTTTTGAATGGGTGAGTGGGTGGAGTGCCGTGGTGGCGAGCTGTTAACTACCTCGCCTTTATACAGGAGGTCGTAAATTCGATCCCGACCCTGACGCCTGGTCGCGTTGAATTTTCTCCAGGTGCTCCGGGTTCTCCCTCCACATTTAAAAACATGCAATTATAGAATGTGGCTGCTATAACTTTGTACGTGAAAAGCCACTTAATTGAGTTGAATATTTGTGGTCAATTGGTTTTTGAAAAATATCTATATAGCTGAGTGCCTTACCTGGTAAAATAAAAAAGCGTAATTTTCATTCAGTGTGCAAAGGAGTGGCTGGGTGGGTGAGTGGATGAGTGAGTGCGATGTTTGATGGGTAGTAGGTCAGTGGTGGGGTGAGTGAGTGTGGGCTAGAGATTGAGTGGGTGGCTTGGTGAGTGGGTGAGTGTGTGCTTGGCTCGGTGGTTGAATGAATGGATGGTTGAGTTAGTGGGTGGGTGTTTGAGTGTGTGTTATTGTGGGTGGGAGAGTCAGAGAGTGGAGTGCCATGTTGGCAAATTGTTAACTATCTTGCCTGGTATTTTTAAGTTCGTAGGTTCGATCCAAACCCTGCTTCTCAAAACAGTCTATATAGCTTAGTGGGCCTTACCTGGGGAATTTTTTTTTTATATTTAGTTAAGGGTGTTGGTGAGTAAGTGGGCAGGTGGGTGAGTGCATCAGTGTGGGTTTGAGATTGAGTGGGTGGCTTGGTGAGTGGGTAAGTTCGAGTGACTCAGTGGTTGAGTTTGTGGCTGGTTACGTTAATAGGTGATTAAATTAATGGGTGGGTCAATAATTACGTTGGTAGTGGGTGAGTGGCTGAGGGAATAGGCGGGTGGTTGGCTGGGTGGGTGGGTGAGTAGGTGGGTTATAAATTGAGTAGGTGGCAGGGTGAGTGGATCTGAAAGTGGGTGAGTGAGTAGGTGCATGGCTGGGTGAGTTAGTGACTGGATGGATGAGTGAGTGGGTGAGTGTGTGGGTGCAGGGATGTGTGGGTGGGTGAGTGTGTGTGGGTAGGAGGTTAGGTGGATAGTGCGTGAATGGGTGGTTTAGAAATTGAGTGAGTGGGTTAGTCACTGGGTGAGTGAGTAGATGGGTGGGTTTGTGAGCTTTGGTTAAGAGATTGAGTCAGTAGCAGGGTTGGTGTGTGGTTTAGAGATTGAGTGTGTGGTTGGGTGAGTGGGTGGTTGGGTGAGTGGTGAGGTTAGAGATTGAGTGGCTCGGTGAGGGAGTATTGGGTGGGTGAAGTGAGTTGGTGGGTCGGTGAGTGCGTGGGTGGGTGATTCAGTAAGTGGGTGAGTGAGGGGTTTGGTGAGCGATGGGTTGAGTGGGTGTGTTATTTGTTCGTGAGTTTGTGGGTGGGTGAGTGGGTCAGTTAGTGATTGGGTGAGTAAGTGGGTGGGTGAGCAAGTGAGTGAATGGGTGTGTTGGTAGGTGAGTGTGTAGCTTGGTGAGTGGTCGTAGGGTGAGTGGGTGGGTGAGAAAGTGGTTAACTGAGTGAGTGGTTGGGTGGGTGGGTGAGTTGTTGACTGAGTGGAGTCAGCGAGTGGGTGGGTTAGTTGATGTGGGAGGTTGAGTGGGTAAATTAGTGTGTGAGTGAGTGGATGGGTGAGTCGGAGAGTGAGGCGCCAAGGTGGTGAGACGTGCACTGCCTCGCCTGGTATACAGGAGGTTGTGGATTCGATCCTGACCCTGTCGCCTGTATATTTGGAGTTTGCATGTTCTACACATGGTCGCGTGGATTTTGCTGCAGGTCCTCCGGGTTTTCCCCTCTGCATTTAGAATCAACATGCGTTTAGAGGATTTGGCTGCAATAAATGTCTATGTGATAAGCCACTTCGTTTATCTATAATTTGTTCACAGGTCTATTCTGAAAAGGATCTATATAGCTCAATGGGCCTTACCTGGGGAAATAAAAAGTAGTTTAGTTTAGGGGGTAGGTGGCTCGTTGGGTCGGTAGGTCTGTTGCAGGTCAAGTAGGTGGCAGGGTGAGTGGTTGAGTAGGTCAGTGGCAGGGTGAGTGGGAGGACTGGTGAGTGTGTGAGTTAGAGATAGAGTGGGTGGATGGGTGGGTGTATGATTGGGAGAGGGAAATGGTGAGTGGATGGGTGAATGAATTGTTGAGTGAGTGAGTCAGTGAGTGGGTGTGTAGGTGGGTGGTTAGCAAGGTGTGTGGGTCTTTGAGTGGGTATGTGGCTGAGTGGGTATGTGGCTGAGTGGGTATGTGGCTGAGTGGGTATGTGGCTGAGTGGGTATGTGGCTGAGTGGGTATGTGGCTGAGTGGGTATGTGGCTGAATGGGTATGTGGCTGAATGGGTATGTGGCTGAATGGGTATGTGGCTGAATGGGTATGTGGCTGAATGGGTATGTGGCTGAATGGGTATGTGGCTGAGTGGGTATGTGGCTGAGTGGGTATGTGGCTGAGTGGGTATGTGGCTGAGTGGGTATGTGGCTGAGTGGGTATGTGGCTGAGTGGGTATGTGGCTGAGTGGGTATGTGGCTGAGTGGGTATGTGGCTGAGTGGGTATGTGGCTGAATGGGTATGTGGCTGAATGGGTATTGGCTGAGTGGGTATGTGGCTGAGTGGGTATGTGGCTGAAGTGGGTATGTGGCTGAGTGGGTATGTGGCTGAGTGGGTATGTGGCTGAGTGGGTATGTGGCTGAGTGGGTATGTGGCTGAGTGGGTATGTGGCTGAGTGGGTATGTGGCTGAGTGGGTATGTGGCTGAGTGGGTATGTGGCTGAGTGGGTATGTGGCTGAGTGGGTATGTGGCTGAGTGGGTATGTGGCTGATGGGTATGTGGCTGATGGGTATGTGGCTGAAGTGGGTATGTGGCTGAATGGGTATGTGGCTGAGTGGTATGTGGCTGAGTGGGTATGTGGCTGAGTGGGTATGTGGCTGAGTGGGTATGTGGCTGAGTGGGTATGTGGCTGAGTGGGTATGTGGCTGAGTGGGTATGTGGCTGAGTGGGTATGTGGCTGAGTGGGTATGTGGCTGATGGGTATGTGGCTGAGTGGGTATGTGGCTGAGTGGGTATGTGGCTGAGATGGGTATGTGGCTGAGTGGGTATGTGGCTGAGTGGGTATGTGGCTGAGTGGGTATGTGGCTGAGTGGGTATGTGGCTGAGTGGGTATGTGGCTGAGTGGGCTGAGTGGGTATGGTGGCTGAGTGGGTATGTGGCTGAGTGGGTATGTGGCTGAGTGGGTATGTGGCTGATGGGTATGTGGCTGAATGGTATGTGGCTGAATGGGTTATGTGCTGAATGGGTATGTGGCTGAATTGGGTATGTGGCTGAGTGGGTATGTGGCTGAGTGGGTATGTGGCTGAGTGGGTATGTGGCTGAGTGGGTATGTGCTGAGTGGGTATGTGGCTGAGTGGGTATGTGGCTGAGTGGGTATGTGGCTGAGTGGGTATGTGGCTGAGTGGGTATGTGGCTGAGTGTTGTATGTGGCTGAGTGGGTATGTGGCTGAGTGGGTATGTGGCTGAGTGGGTATGTGGCTGAGTGGGTATGTGGCTGAGTGGGTATGTGGCTGAGTGGGTATGTGGCTGAGTGGGTATGTGGCGAGTGGGTAGTGGCTGAGTGGGTATGTGGCTGAGTGGGTATGTGGCTGAGTGGGTATGTGGCTGAGTGGGTATGTGGCTGAGTGGGTATGTGGCTGAGTGGGTATGTGGCTGAGTGGGTATGTGGCTGAGTGGGTATGTGGCTGAGTGGGTATGTGGCTGAGTGGGTATGTGGCTGAGTGGGTATGTGGCTGAGTGGGTATGTGGCTGAGTGGGTATGTGGCTGAGTGGGTATGTGGCTGAGTGGGTATGTGGCTGAGTGGGTATGTGGCTGAGTGG